ATTAAGCAATTATGTATTCTTATGCTATGTTGCTTATTGAAACCTTATTTCATAGAAGTATTGAAGCTTCTGATATTTTCTGCATGGACATATGTCAGATAGATAATATTAGCTTCAATGTAACATCATATTGATGGTATCTTGATATGTATCTGATGTTATGATCTTTTAGAATTATAAGGTTTGTATTTATTCTGATTAAATATATTTTTACGCTCACACTTTATTGTCAATGTACAGGTGCCTATGTTCAGTTTTCATTTGTCCGATAAGAAGATTTGATAAGCGTGTATGAAATTTACCTTTATAATTTTTAACACAAGCTTACATATGGTCAGCACGCTTTCTATCCGTTAAATGTTGTTTTCTATTGTTCCTTGGATTTTCAATTAGTTAAGCATAAAATAATCTATAGTGTGCATTCAGGGCAAATAGAGCGATTTCAGCGACAATCATAGCGACTCCTAATGCTAAATATATTTTATAATTTTGACAAATGTATAACTGTATACATAAATATGACACAGTATTAACAAAGATTTTGTTGTATTGATATGTATGTCATGTATCTACTGTTTTGTATATGATCGAAAAATTGGTAAATATCTGACTGGATACAATTTAAACAAATCCAATTATAATTAGAGCCATTGAGCATTGTTTTTAATTTGTTCTTTGATTAAAATTTCTGCACATTGTGGTAATGCCACGAGCTGCAAAAAGTTGGTGTGTTCGTCCATGTCATAACATACTGAATTCAATTATAGGAAAAAATAAATTTGTGAAGATTGGACAAAATCCAACTTATCCTAGTGGAATACATCGAATCGATGCTATTACAGCAGCTCATATCAGCAGACAATATTCATTAAATACACCTAGTACATCAAAGCAAGTTTTTGAAGGTGATAAAATATGTACTAGCTGTTTAAGAAAAATATCTAAACAAGAATTTGAATATGATAATGATGAATTTGATGCTATTGAAGCTATGACTGTTGACGAAGTAGACAATATTGATTGTGATAAACTGGTCATGAAAAACGTGATAGTAAAAATGATCACAAACAATCCAACTATAATGCTGAAGATTTTCCATCTTCATAAGAACAAAAATACACAAAAGACGAAGCCAAAAGAAAATTAAACCTGGTTTTTGATGTATTAAATATTTCAAGTATACGTGATATGCAAGTCTCTATATTTTTTTTCAACAATTAATTTGATGTATTAGTCGCCGACTCAAACTTATTTGACAAAAAGTTGATGCTGCTTATTCAATGCTTCATAAACTTTGTGATATGCTTCTGAAAGAAAAAGATGAATTTATCAATCTCCATCTTTCAATGAAGGATTCACCTACATTATTATGTGGTTTAAAACTTTATTTTCAACAACGTACTGATACTGAACAAAATCGTTTATTAACCATTTCTCCAGATAATTGGGGTCGTAGTACGATCCAAAAGTGGTTCAATTGTTCATAACATGAAGCCCGACAAGCATTATTATTAAAAACCATTAAGGGTATTCTTGCTTTTCCTGAATATTGGAATGGAAATAAACCTCTAAGTGAGGACACAATTAAATTAGTAAAGGAATTTTATTTACAAGATGGTACTAGTCGAGCTTCATCACGAAAAAAAGATGTTATGCGTATTGATAAAGTACCAGTACCAGTTCGATTTATGGAAATGACGGGACGTGAAGCATATCAGCAATTCATTATACAAAATCCTACATTTGTTTAATTTCAGCTACTCTTCCATAATACATTATATTTATTTACAAAAATTTGATTTACAGACGTTTCGAAAGCATCAGCTTTCTTCTTCAGTGTGTTACAATAAAATAAAATAAAACAC